GCTGCAACCCAGTGCATCATCCTTTTCCGCCACGTCGCGGCGCTGCTCAATTAATCACGTGATCACCAAAATACACAGACCTTATTTCCATTGAAACTTTCTCCAAAAAATTTTATATTTTTATTTTATATACATCAAATCATTATAATATAAAAAATTTTAAAAAAAATCAATTCAAATGACAATTCTATATTTCATTTAAATCTTAGAGTTTTTTTTTTAAAAAAATATACGATAATAATTTAATATATATATATAATATAAAAATTAATTAAAAATATATTTACAAATAATGTGAAAATTTTTCTTTGAAAAATTACAATTCATGACGAGACCTTAGGCCTTCGGGGCATGTTAGGTTAGAGACTTGATTACTTTTTTTTTCTTTTTTCGAAACGATAGATGATTGTATTGCTAGATAAAAGCTGTACAAGTGCGAGCAAAGGCTCGATTGAACTTTACAAGTGGCAATGCTACCACTAAGGAAACCAATGTTCCTCATCAAAAATAATGCCCAAGGCATGAATGCTAAGCTTGGAGCTTAGTTGAGTCTTATCCTTTTTAATTAAACAAAAGGAGCACATAGGAAACAGCTCTCTCAAATGAACAATGTCATCCACAACAGTAGCTAATCTAATGTCACCTACGCTGTTTGTGCGAATTTGGCTGAGAAGTTGTGGGTTTTGCACTTGGAACTGCACTTCCCTGATGTGTGTCCGGACTGGCATAGAGGCAATCTTACACATGGCCAGCTTAAGTGCACTAGCTTCATCCAGCAGTGCTGAACCAGAACTTCTTGCTCGAAGTGCCCACCCTCTGTGTAATCTTTGATCAGGCTGATTAATAACAATTCCAATACTCATGTTGTGATTGTTCATGTTCAAGTTGCCCCTACCGTCACTTCCAGTGTCCCAAATGCTGAATGTAACTGCGGTATGGGAGCATGAAGGGTTGCTGTTTCGTTTGTACTCATTCCACATTCCTTTGTATCAAGTTCTACCAATTCTAACCATTCCTGATGTGCCCTCTGTACTATCTTCCTAGGCTGTTTTTCCTTACCATTGAATTCCATTTCATTCCTAGCTTTCCAAATTTGCCAAAGAATATTGACAGACAAAGAAATATGTAACCAACCTTCTGTTCTGTGCTTGGCTTCCAAGATTGATAACCACCATCTACGGAAACTCCCATGGTGTTCCATAATTCCATTCCATTGGACAGGGGCTAACTTCCAAATCATTTTAGATTCGCGGCAGTTCAAAAGCATATGTTCGATAGTTTCCCTATCCTCTCCACATCTACTGCAAATTGGATCCCCAACTTTAAGTCTGCCGTATATCAGATCTTTCACTGGGAGCGCATCATTTAGGCATTTCCAAAGGAAGACCTTCAGTTTGTGTTTCACCTTTAGTCTCCACAAGTCCTTCCATGTCTTCTGGGTTTGGTCCTCCCAACTTGTCGAACCCTCTATGTTGTTTCCATCGTGACTAAATTCTGCACAGTTAACTAGTAATTTATACCCCGATTTGACCGAATAGTTTCCATCAGTCCCATAAATCCAAAAGTGACTATCTTCCATCCCTGCTAGACTTATAGGAATATTCAGGATCCTTTCAGCATCTAGGGAATTGAAATGCTTGAAGACCAGATTAGAATTCCATGATTTATGGTGTATCAGCTCGTGAACTTTCTGGAGGCCATTGTCTCTAACTTTTCTGGTAGCCACTCTGCCGTCTCTATTCCCTGGAATCCATCCATCATCCCAAATGTTGGTAGTGTTGCCATTTCCAATCCTTCTTCTTGTTCCTTGTTCCACCAAACCTCTAGCTCCCATAAGACTCCTCCATAGCCAAGATGCATTGTTAGGGACTTTGCATCGAAGAATAGATGTCCTTGGGAAATATTTAGCCCACATAACTTGACTGATTAATAAATTAGGTTGGGTTATCAATCTCCAAACCTGTTTGCCGAGAAGAGCTACATTGAAAGCCATCAAATCTTTGAAGCCTAGTCCTCCCTTATTCTTGCTCAGCGTAAGCTTCCTCCAGGAGCACCAATGAACCTTATTCTTCCCGTTAGACTTTCCCCACCAGAAATTTGACAATAATGAGCTCAGTTCCTTACATAATCTGGATGGGAGCTTAAAGCAGGACATGGTGTACGTTGGCATAGCTAGAGCTATATATTTAAGTAAGATTTCCTTACCTGCTGTACTCAGTAACCTATTTGTCCACCTACTCATTCTTTGCTGTACATTAGATTTGACATAGCCAAATAGCTGCTGTTTTGATCTTGATACTACCATTGGTAGGCCAAGATATTTCCCTTGGGTAACACTTTGCATGTTCCCCATAGCTTGACAAATCTCTTGCTTCAGCTGTATCCTTACATTCTTACTAAAAAGAATGGACGACTTTTCCAGATTGATCACTTGACCAGACCCCAATGCATATTCCTGCAACACCCTCATCAGTTCCATTGCTTGATCCTTAGTTGCTTTGCAAAAGATTAAGGAGTCGTCTGCGAAGAAGAGGTGTGTTATACTTGGACCATTTCTACTTATCTTTAGACCAGAAATTTTCCTGGAAGCTGCTGCCTGCCGAATGAGGTTGGAAAATCCTTTGGAGCAAAGAAGAAACAAGTAAGGGGAAAGAGGGTCCTCTTGTCTAATACCTCTGGTGGGTGTCACATACTCTTTGACCTCGCCATTAATATTGAATGAAAAGGAAACCGTTCTCACACACTCCATAATCCAGTTGCACCATTTATGATGAAATCCCATCTTCTGCATAATGGCCTCTAGGAACCTCCATTCCACAAGGTCGTAGGCTTTAGACATGTCCAACTTTACTGCCATAAACCCATCCTTCCCTTGTCTCTTATGATTTAGATAATGCAAATATTCATGGGAAATCATAATGTTGTCTAAAATTTGCCTACCAGGAATGAAAGTTGACTGGTTTTTGCAAATGCAACAATGTAACACACTTTTGAGCCTATTTGCTAGAATTTTAGCAATGACTTTATATATGGTAGTGCACAGACTAATGGGTCTAAAATTCTGCAAAGATATGGGATTTTGCACTTTAGGAATGAGAGTAATTACAGTATGATTAACACTCTTCAATAAGTGTCCCGTATGAAAGAAAGTTTGAATTGCATTTACCACATTATGCTTGATAGTAGTCCAGTATTTTTGGAAAAAAAGAGGTGACATACCATCAATCCCAGGAGCTTTGTCTGGGTTCATAGAGAAAATTACAGCTTTAATTTCATCTTCTAGAACTGGTTTCATCAGGTTTCCATTAAGATCATCCGTGATAGTGTGTGGAATTCCCTCTAGTACCGCAGATAAATCCCCTACATCACAGCTTTTCAACAGATTTGAGTAGTATTCTGCAATTTCCTTACTCAATGCCTGCTCACTCTCAGTCCACGTCCCATCCACTCGCTGAAGTTTATGCAACCGATTTCCCTTTCTTCTGCCTTGTACATATGTATGGAAAAATTTCGTATTCTTGTCACCTTCCCTAAGCCATTGTATCCTCGATTTCTGAAACCAGTAGAGCTCTTCCTCCTTATATGTATTCTGGAGCAATTTTTTTAGAGATCCCTTGTTCCCTTGCTGGAGGCACCTTTCGATTGTTGCAACTCACTAATCTCATTCTTTAACTGCTCAATTGCCTTTCTTGAGTTAGCTTGGAAACCATTTCTCCACTTTAGAAGATCCAGTCGGCAGTTCTTGACCCTCCTAACCACTTGAAACATTCTAGAACCCTCAACCTCCTTATCCCAAGCAGTTCGGATTACATCCCCTATATCATCTTTTTGGAGCCACCTCTTGTCAAAGTAGAAGCGCTGTTTCTTTCTATTATGGTTCATCATGGTATCAAACAAGAGTATGCTGTAATCAAATGCAAAAGAGGTAATGTAGGAACATTGAACTTTCTCAAAAACCTGTGACCAGGAATGAGTACTTAAACCTCTGTCCAATCTTTGTTTTATTAAGTCTCCTTGTTCCCAATTGTTACACCAAGTCCAAGGCTGCCCAATAAACCCAATATCCAGCAACTGATTCCCATTTATGAATTGCCGAAGGTCTTGAAAACTACTTTCCTGTCTAGAATTGCCTCCCCATTTTTCTTTATTAGACACAATATCATTAAAGTCACCAGCTATGAACCATCTTTCTCCCCACAGTCTTTTCCTATTTCCTATAACCTTTCACTGTTGATGTCTAATCTGATGCTCACAACTCGCGTAAATACCTACAAACCACCAATCACAGTTAACCTCCAAATCCTCCACATGCGCTTCTATGGTAAAGGTAGTCGTAAGCACCTCTAATATTTTCACCTCATCTTTCCAAAGGAGAGCCATTCCTCCTGCCTTGTTCATTGCCTCCACTACCACCAAATCGTCAAATCTTAAAATATTTTTAACTTTCTCCATATATTTTGTTCTATTCTTGGTCTCACTCAAGAAAACCATACTTGGAGAGAAGAGGTTATTAACCTCTCTCAGCTGGGGAATTGTCAAGGGGCTCCCCACACATTGACAATTCCACACCTGGACTCTCATTGGACACCTGGGGTCCTCTTAGGGATGGACCCTTCCTCCTCAGCCTCTTGTTTGTGCCTTTTCATCTCATGTACTTCAGTGGTAGCATCCACCAATTCCATTTCCACTTCATTAATTTTTCTCTTACCCTGGTCTTTAACATTCCCCAAGTTGATGCTTATGCCTTTTAGAGCCTGCCTTCTTTTGCTAGGAGACCTCAAAGGCTGCTGGACCCTTCTGAAGTGCTGCCTTATCCCCTTTTGTGTATTAGTTATGTTTCCCTGATCAACCTGCATTGATGCCGAAACAGTACGTGCTGGCTCCACACCTGATTGTTGAATTTGTTGATCCTCTTTGTCACTCAGTAAATGTTCAGGTTCAGTATCCACCATCATTGAGCTCTCTCCGCCTTGCACATTTCCCTCCTTCATTTCCCTTGACTAAGGAAGGTCCCCACAATACTGAGTTTGAGGTAATTCAGTAAGCGCCACTACCTCTCTGTTTGCTACCATTGCTATATTGGAACTGGTTCCAGCTGTGCCTTCCATCCTTGCCTTCCTCTTGTCCTTGGCATAATCTTCCTGTTGGCTTTCTGCCTGCTCGTGGACTGGTTGCCTCTGCAACTCCTTAATCAACCCTGGAGAACCATCTCTCCTCTGACTAAAAGCTTGTGACTCAGGACCATCCTTCTCTAACCATTCCCCGTTCTGATAGTTCCAATGATGTCTTTGGGGGTTGAATATAACACTTGAATTTGTTTTCTGAACAGACTTCGGGCCATTCCCATAACCCGCCCTCATCCAAATCTCATATTGATTATCCTTTTGACCTTCCCTCCCACACACCACCATACTGCAAGATCTCTCACTGTGCCCAATTCTGCCACATTTATAGCAAAAATCTGGGCACCTCTCATATTTGAATTGTATCCACTTAGCTATCCCAGCCACTTTGATAGTAGTTCCACGTAGCAAAGGTTGAGTAATGTCAACTACTACTGCTAGCTTAAGATGCCTTCCTTCCTTTCCACCCGTTTGTGGGATAATGACATCCTTGACCAGGTGAAAAACAGATCCTATTTTCTTGCCCACTTCCTTTGAGATGTAGTGGACTGGAAGATTCCAAACTTGCACCCAAAGGGGAGCTAGATTGAAGGCCTTCTCATCATTTTCAATCCCCTCATACCAACTATTCAGTACCAGTAATTGATTGTCGATAATCCACGGACCTCCTTGAGCGATCCTCTCCCTATCATCTTGTCTAGGCAAAATAAATTGGAACAAGTTGGGCCCCAACTCCGCAACAGTCAAATCTCTTGGATACCCCCATGCGGAAGTAACAAAGTTCTTTACCCCTGTAAAGTTAGCTATCTTCTCTCCCACTATCTTTCCTAGCAGGCTACTTTGGCACTCCTTAATACCAAAAGCTAACTCCTGTGTTCCCAACTCTGTTATCTGCAGTTCCTTGTTCAACAAAGTAAATCCTTGCAGAATATCCGCAATGTCCTCAGCCATTGGACTTAACCAAGATAGTAGAGGTACAAATCTCACACTCGCACACCCTCAGTGGAAACCCAATGAAACCAGCAATGGACCAGGAAACAAAGATGTTTCTCTCCAGGTAAATGTAGGACTGGTAGGCAACAAAACGAAAAAACAGAGCAAAATGTACCTAACACTAATGCATCTACTAGACCAGACAAGAAGGGATGAGTACATGGCAGTGAGTTTACCTGTCCGTTAAGAAGCCCCGCCCTTGGAACGTCGGCTTAGCATCTAGATCTAGTACCTCCTCATAAAACTGCTTATCTGAGTCTTGAAGGTCTCGAACAGAAATTCCAAATGCTGCTGATCTACCTAGGAAACCACCAAATTTAGATTGTATTAAAGACTTTTCAACTCCCACTTACTATAAATGGAAGCCATCAGAAATGCACTTAGATTTGGCTGGGTTAATGCTTGAATCTTGTAGGAAAGTGAAAAGGCAGAAACTTTTGGAACTTTGGCACTATTGAAAGCTCCCAGAAAAGGGAGAGATGCTCTCTTAGAGAGAGAAAGAGCCTCTACTTAGAGGGAGATTCGTTAGAGACTTGATTACGTTCTCTATGTTTTTGACAGGTCCGAACTCCGAGGTATCGTAATGGGATCATTAGCGATAGATCACAGATGAGATGACAACGACCCGGTGCTAATCACAATCCACTGCCACGTTGCATACACACGCGTGCTAATAAAAAAATGTTCCAGGGATTTTCTGTATTGAATATTGATGTCAACGAAATAATGGAAATATGAAAGCAGAGTTTTGGCATGTGCTCTTCGGTGGACTAAGAAAGCTCGACTCTGAAGTTTAAATCGAGAGGAGCATAATACTTTACGCCTGGTAGGTTGTGAAACTAAATACTTATCCAAAGTCTATAACGTCTATCCTCTTTCTAGGTGTTTGTTCTTCATCAAGAAATGAATATAGTTAAAAAAAAGACAGTAAAAAGGGTGGTCAAGTTTTATTTATTTGTTCCTTGGGTTACGTGTATATATATGGAAAATAAGTTTCAATGGTCCTCCAACTTTTTTTCATACAAAGTTTTAACCCTCCAACAATTAACGGTAAATTTTTGATTCTCGATCTAATAAAATAGCATATTCGTGACCTTTCTGTCAAACTCAGCAGTTAAAATTGACGGGAAGCATCATCTAGTGAGATGCACGACCAAATATCAAGGGCATTATAGTCACTAAAGGAGGGTTTACCAAGCAGAGAGAGTAAAAAGGCTGCTTCTTCCCTTACCTTATGTTAGAGCAAGTAAAATCTCCATTCCAGTCAAAGTTGGAGCTGAAAATGCGAAGAATGAACAGTTCCCCTCTACCGAGCATGGATCGATGAGGAGATGTGCTGACGGTCGACAGAAATTATAACTGGCCTTCTTTGAAAGATTAATGCAACTGAAAAGGACAGAGATGAATATGAAGAAATAAAAAGAAGAAATGAAAGAAAGGTAACAAAATTGGAGGGCTATTGGGACATTTCTCTATATATATATATGTGTGTGTGTGTGTAAATAACATCCAACTTAAAAATTAATCTTTAATTTTTTCATCTAAAATTTGAATTACTAACAAAATGATGAAATTGATTTAGTAGTCCCCAGTGGATTGCTCGATTGGGACTGGTCGTTTGTTTTTACAGCAAGATCCCAGGTTCGACCCTCACTTACTATCATTGCTAGGCACCTTTGGGGCAAGCTCTGTCCAACCTAAAGGAATTAGTCTAGGTGATTTCAGGATAAACCTTCAGACCCGAAAAAAAAAGAAGATGAAATTGATTTAGTACATCTATTACCAAAAAGTCACATAAACTGCCTGGAGGGAATGATTTAGTATACTTAAACTTGATTTCGTTTTTCTTTTTTTTTTTTTTCAATCTAGCTTGTAAATTTAGGGTTGTAAAGAACAATCCATGTTGAATTATGCTTCTCTTATGTTGTCTTTCCTGCTACGTGTTACGTGTTGAACTGCCCAACTTATCCTGCCCGGAAGTGGAATATTCTTTCACCATTCTTAGAAGGAAATAAGGCTCATGTGATTGAGCTGATGAACAAGAGCTAAACAAAGCAGGAATGCATTTTGTAGTCAACGGATCAATCTAATTAATTTCTAATTAATCAAGGTGATTAGTTACATAATGTTATAAAAGTGGTCATAATTAATATTTGAAAATTACACTACAATATTCAAAAATTAAAATAGGGTAAATTATTAGTAATCCCTTCTGATTTTGTATATTATCACATGACTTTTCTAACATTTGTATCAGCGTGATAACCTTTTTGTTTTTATGTGAAGTGAAAATTTAGCGTAAAACAAACTCCAAGCATAACTTTGTTAGTTGAAGTTTTAGCATTATCTTTAATTAAGTACTAAACGAAGGTCATGATAGGATGAGATTTTCATTCATTTTCCTTTATATCTACACAATTATAGGGTTTATGTGGATATTGTTGAATATTATGGGGTATGTAACATCAAAGCTCTATTAGTAATCTACCTTTAAAATTACAGTCTTAGGAGTCGGAAAGAAATATGACCTCAAAAATTTTTTTTTTCTTTAACGTTGCTAATACAAACATATATAATTGACCTAGATCATTGTCCACTCATCTTCCTATCCCAGAAAGAAAATTTTATAATGTTTACGCCAAACCAAACGGCAAATTGTTCAAATTAATTCAACGTCACGTGTTTACCCCAAGAAAAAAAAATTATACAATGTTTACGTCCAACCAAACGGCAAATTGCCCAAACTCAATGTCAACAGCTTATCCTAGAAAAATAAAATCGTACAATGTTTACGTAAATTGTCCAAACTCAATGTCCAAAAAAAAAAAAAGGCCACTTTTGGGAACGAAAAACACGGGCATATAACTATATTGGACCAAGAATATTATATTTATAATTATCATAACACTTACCCCTCATTTGCGTTGCTAGGTAGGAATAGCCAGAATGGAAAGGTCATTCTACCCAAAATACCTTTTCACCCGGAAGAAAAATTTATCATTTCAGTGTCCGGTATACAAGTTAGAAAGGAATATTCATTCATTTTCCAGCGTTTGGTATTTGGTGTAATTTTCTCCAGCATAAAATTCAATTATGTCTAAAATCTCTATCCATAAATAAGTTTATGGTAATTCATACTTTTAGCCCGTTATTGTTGAGACCAACGACTAAGTCAGCTGCATACTCGATAGCATGCACGAACTGGTAAAAGTAAGGATGAATGGTTCTACTTTTAATAATTAGAGCAGATATGGTGAAATTGTAAAACAATGCCAAAAAAAAAAAGGAATTAAAATCCGCATAGACTTTATGATCAGACCAGTTCTATGAAAGTAATTGATTTTGTCAAATTTGTTAAGTAACTGGTTTTTTCAAATCCAGACCCTTGTGGATGGCACATTTATGCATGTACTTTTGAAATATATCGTTGGTCAGTTTTCACAATGTCAAAGTTTTCTTCTTCAGGTAAGTCTTGAGTCGTGATCAATTTGGTAGAAAACCTGGGAATAGAAAAGCCAAAGTAAAGAATTTGAGATTGTGGAAATATATTACAATCGTAAATTTGGTAAAAACCCAAATTATGGTACAGAAGAGCCCAGTCAAGAATCAATGGAGAATAATCTTCAACACACCCGTCCATAGAGCCGAAACCATCGAACTAGATTTTCTTGGATTGAACTACTACACTAGTAATTATGCAACCACTGCACCAAAGTCCACTGGAGGAAATTTGAGTTATACAACAGATTCCCAAGTCACATATGCAAGTAAGTTCTAAGTGTTTCTTGCAATAAATAAATCACATAAATAAATTTTCTTGTAAAACGAATTCGCTAATGTTATTCTCGATAAACCACAAATTGACTTATTCTCGATAAAAAAATGAAAAAAAAAATCATACTTTTGCATAAAATAAGACAAAAAAGTCCTTTTTTGCCCCTTTACAAGATAATGCAAAGAAAGTCTTACAACTCTAGCTATTGTATCTGACAATAATTTCACCTTGTTCTGCATGCGTTGTTTAAAAAAGTGATATAAGTTTAACACTCGTAAAATCTCGAGTGGATAATACCAGAATAAGATATATTCAAAATCACCTTTTGAATATTCGACTAACAATTGAGTAAGGAAAATTGTGGCCCTCAAAGATAGACTGCTCATTTCATTTAAAATTTGGGAGAATTATTATGAAGCTGTTAGGTTGGATAGCCAAGAACAACTACATAATGATAGAAAAATAGCAGAATGTGTGGTATTCTTTCTTCAAGTAATTATTTATGGTATTTTTCATCCTTTTGTAGTGATGGAGTAAATGTTAAGGGTTATTTTGTATGGTCATCCACGGACGAATTCAACTGGAAGTAAATACATTTCAAGATGTTTCATTATTACATAAGATTGATTATGTCATTTTTTTTATTTGTTTGTTCTTCTGTACCGAAGATGAAATAAATGAAAATACAAGTAGACACATTGATTGCGTATTTGTTTAGCAAGATGTACTTTGTACCATGCGTTTCCCGTCTTAGGAAATATATAAATGAGCTTCTCAAATATTGAACAAAGTTGATTTTCTCAAAGAACATGCGACTCAAAAAAATTTTTGGCAGATGCGATTGGTCGAAAAAAATAGACGGTTTGGTTTCCTCTTTCTTTGGGGTTCCTTGCCAATTTTGTTCTAGTCCCCATGGTATTGAGAATATTTGCATGCGGTACACAGTTAGATGGCTCAGGTTAACAGCAATCTGTGCAATTTTCTTCACATAAAACCTTTTCTGATTAGTTAGTTAATACATCCTATATGATTCCACGAGCTTGACTGAGATTCACCAGATAAATCATTGGCTCTCCGGATTCTGAATCCAACACTTCTTTTATTTTTTTCTTCTTTTAGAGGAATTCAAGAAGACAAAATTAAACAAATTAATTAGAAACTTTCCAACTGCAGTCACATGCAA